CCAGCTCCATGGACTGCTCGGCCTCGGGCGGTCCAGGCGTGGGCGGCTTCTCTGGCAGCGGCGGGCCCGGCTGCTCTGGGAGCCCCTGGCGCACGCCCCCGAACCAGTGCGTCTGCCGCCACTTCACCTGCGAGTCGGCGGGGGGGGGCATGAGGGAGAGAGAAGGGCGTGACAGGAACATGGCGGGCCCGATTTGCAAACTATGCCGATTCACCTTGCTCTCCCGATTCTTGCCGCCCCGCTTGTGCCTCGCCGAAGCGAAACCCTTGGCTTCCCACGGCGGAACGCTCTGGGAGGGGCCGGCGCGCTCGGCTGCACCATGGCCCCCCCCCTCGTCGCGCCATGGAGCCGTGGCGGGCGCCTCCGCCTCCGCCTCCGCGGCGGCGGCCCTGCTGCTCGAGGCGGAGGGCCACCGCCAGGCGCTCCGCCAACCGCTGTCGGAGGCCCAAGCGGAGGACCACCAGTCGCCGTCGGAAGACCACGCCCCGCTCCACCAACCACCCCAGGCCATGGCGTCTGCCAGAGGCAGCGGTAACGGGAGCTGCGAACGCGCAGCGCGGCAACGCGTGCTCGCTGCTCGAACCAACGCAGCAGCAAGGAGAGAGAACGCATGCATGACGCCTCTTCCCCCTTTTCCCGTGTTCCTTTCCTCCTCTTCCTCCTCTTCCCTCTCCTCCTCCTCCTCCTCCTCCTCTTCCTCCTCCCCCTCCTCCCCCTCCCCCCCTCCTCTCCTCCTCCTCCTCCTCCTCCTCCTCTCCTCCTCCTCCGCCTCATCCTCCTCCTCCTCCTCCTCCTCCTCCTCCTCCTCCTCCCCCCTCCTCCCCCCCCCTTCCTACTCCTCCTCCTCGTCCTCCTCCTTCTCCTCTTCCTCCTCCTCCTCCTCCTCCTTCCCTGGGCGCTGGTGGACCCTGCCACTGGGACCTTCACCGGAGCTCCCTCATTATGGGGCCACGGAGCGTGCGAGAGGTGCGCCGGAATTGACCTGCGGAGAGCGGCCGCAAGGATGGGAGGAGGGAGGGGGAGAGGAGGCAGGAGCGAGGAAGGAGGAGAAAGGTGATGCGAGGGCCGCGGGGCACTGTCCCTTCATAGCGGAGACCCAACGCCACGTAATGACTGGGAGATAGCATACACTCATAAACCCAGATACTTTGAACAAAAACAAGCAACACAAAACTCATACATTCAACATATTAATTAATACATTGAATAAATTAAAAAAATTGAATTTACAATGAAAAACCAAAATAAACAATGTAAAATCTGAATAAACAATAGAAAATCATAATTTTTGAATTTCCGGTTAAAAATCTCACTGGCGAATAGACTTCCTTCCCTACAGGATCCTTGAATCATGCTAAAAGATGTAGGCGCCGGCGCTGGCGCCAGCGTAGGCGCTGGCGGAGGTGGTGGTCACCTCCTGATCGGTGATCTCCGTCTCGGTCGTGGTCCTTACCACCTCGGTGGTGGTTAATTCCTGATCGGCCGTCTCCATCTCGGTAATGGTCCTATCCACCTCGGTGGTGGTCAGCTCCTGGAAGCCGTGACACGTCCTGGCGGGTATTCCGTGACATCAGAAAGCCCCCAGCGCGACAAGCGTCAAATCAATGGTCAATGCGTCGATGGCATCCCCGTCATTCAGGCACCTGCGGGCTGCCTCGAGGAAGCCGCCCACCTCGGAGTCCTTCGCCCATTCCGCTGATTCCCAAAGTCCGGGTGGAACGAGTCGACAATGAGCCTGGTCTCGTCCACCTGCAGCGTCGGGGGCGCTCGGCCCGCATCGGCGCTCGGTGCGGCCACGGGGCCATCGACAAAAGGCACGAGCTCCGCACCCTCCGAGTCCATGGCCGTCATGCACTCCACGCGAACGCCGTCCCGCAAAACGTGCTGGACGGGGGTCGCGCACCTTGCGGGTTCGAGCATAAGCCTCGCCCTCCGCCATCTTGATCTGCTACACGAAGTCCGAGTTCGAGAGCCCCTCATTGAACCTGTAGAAGCGCCCTTGGAGGCGAGCAGGCCGCTCCACGGCCGGGTCGAGCAGCAGCCCCTGCACGGCGCCGCCCGACCCTCGGCGGCATTGGGTGATCTCCGCGCACCAGTGGCCGTCGGGCGCGACAATCACACAGTCCCCCGTCGCGGACAACGCCAAGGCCACCCTCTCATGCCAGCGCGCGTCGTCTGAGCACCAGAAAACGATCCGCCGCCTGGGGACGAGCTCACGCATAAACCCCGCCCCCTCCACGACGACCCCGTCTACCCCGAACAAGCAGTGATTCCTGGCCGCAAGCATCGCGACGACGGGCCTGCCAGCCGCGGATCAGGCCTAGGTCGGCCTGGACGAGCCCCCCCCACCGATGGCCCACGCGGCCGGCCAAGGCGACCCAGGCGCTCTCGGCCCCCGCGACTATCGAGTCCACTTGCTCGTCCAGGTGCAGCAGCAGCAAGCCCCGCACCTCGCCCAGCTCCCCTGACTCCGGGGTCAGCAAGGCCCCCGGGAGGGCCAGAGTCCAGGGCCGCCGCCGCCGCCTCCGCGAGGACCTCGAGCACCGAGGCGCTCCACGCGGGGAAGGGGAGGTCCAGGCACGCCGGGCAGGAGGCCGCCGGGCACACCGGCGGCGGGCAGGACGGCGGGATCGCCAACGCCCACAAGCCTATCGCGAGCAGCGAATGGAGACCTGTGGCGGCGGCCGCGGCCCAGGTCGCGCGCCTGGGGCCCATGTGACCCCGTGAAGATTTGAGCAAGAACATACACAAGACAGAGATACGTTCCCATTCAGAACCTCAATCCCGTGCCCATTCCGCAGGCTCCATTTCGCACTAACACTCACAATGACAGACACAATCACACAATCACACAATCACGCAATCACGCAACAGCTGCACACATAAACACACAAACACACATACACACAAACACACACAAGCACACAGGCACACAAGCATACAAGCACACAAGCACACAAGCACACAAGAACACCAGCACACAAACACGCGAACACACAAACACACAAACACACAAGCACACAAACACATGAACACACAAACACACAAACACACAAACACACAAACACACAACACACACGGACCCACAGACCCACACGCCCACAAACTTACAAACCCACAAACGAACAATCCCAAAAACGCACAAACCAACAAACACACAAACCCACGTACCCACAAGCACACAACTATACAAACAGGCAAACTCACAAACACACAAGCATTCAAACACAAGCACAAGCGCAAACACAAGCACTAGCACGGGAACTAACACAAGCACGCGCACATGCACAATCACAACACACAAACATGCACATACACAAGCACACATACAAACACAAACACAAGCACTAGCACAAGCACAAGCACAAGCTCAAGCACACGCACAAGCAAAAGCGCAAGCACAACAAACAACACAAGCATAAACACACGCCTAAACACGTACCCAAACACAAACACAAACACAATCGCAAGCACAAGCACAAGCGCAAACACAAGCACAAGCGCAAACACAAGCACAAGCACAAACACGCACACGCACACGCACACACACACAAACACAAACACAAACACAACACAAACCCAAACACAAACACAAACACACACAAACAAACACACACACACACACCACGCATTGTTTGACCCCACAGGGAGCTTCACCGAAGGCTCCAGTGGCTGCGTCCGCATGGTGGCCCGCCCCATTTCGGCACACCGCTCACGCGTTTCGTGGCTCCAGAGGGAGCTCCACGGAAGACCCCAGTGGCTGCGCCCGCACGGGGCCCCGACCCATTTCGGTACGTTCAGTGTGGCTTGACGCTTTTGGCGAGGCGTTTGGGGGTACCACTGGCCCCTGACAATATTCTCATTAATTGAGCGGTCCAGCTCATAGTCGCCTCGTTTTGTGAAAGGGTTGGGTTCTTCGCCAAGCTAGTTTCTTCCACCAGGGGGACTCCCCAGCCAGGTGTGCAGCCGACGTGAGCGTGCAGAACAAAAAACAACTGGTCGCCAGCCCGTTGTTGAGCAGCACCGCAGTGCAAACCAACGTGCTGCAAAGTGTATCTTACATGTTGGCACAGCAGGAGAGATTGCTCCAGCTAGCCCGCGAAAGAATTAAAGGCTTGCCTCCAGGGACGCGCTGCCGTGCGACCCCCGTTCGGCGACTGCCCCTCCACCTCAGCGCGACTTCGAGGGATGTCCATGGTCCCAAACCAGCTCAATTGGCTGACGCTGGCAGGGCGCATGCGTACAGAAGCTCAACCAGCTCAATCAGCCGCCGCCGGGCCCGAAAATTTGCTCAATTAGCCGCTGGCCGTGGCCCCAAAGTCGCTCAGATCAGCAACTGGCGCCACACAAAAGCGCCGCATGCAACGGAAGAATAGGAGAGCGCGTCAGGACCCTCGCGGCGAGATGGGTGCGCCCGGCATGGGTGCAGATCATCCAGACCTCCGCCCCATGAGAGCGCGAAGCTCTGAGGGAGGGGGGGGGATCGTGGCACCGCCCGAGCACGCTCGGCAAAACAACAAACGGGCGGAGAAACCAAATCTCCAACGATCTGATTTGTTCAATCTGGTCGTTTCTCCTGCCTCTGAGGCCTGCACTCGGGCCCTGTGACAGCAAAGCGTAGATCTGGGCGGGAAAACTATCCCCGGGGATGGGGTCGGGACCTCTGGGGCCGCACATTGAACAGATCACACCCTCGGATTTCTGGGAACGAGCGGTGGCGATTAAATTATTTACATCATACGGCACAATAGGACAGATACTAAGGGCAGATGCGGGTTGCGCAAAAAAGGCCGCGTTCGCCAACGCCTGCCCCTGTAAAACTCCTGCTGGTCATCTGGCTCTGCACTCTCCAGGGTCCCGCGTCGACTGCAATGCCCTCCACGAGCGGCGGCTAGGAGGAGGAGGAGGAGGACGAGGAGGAGGAGGAGAAGGGGGGCGATGGGGAAGAGGGACCCTTGAGGATGACCAGGGTACGAGGGCGCGGGGCGACCGCGCGCGAGTCAGCGCCCGCCGGGCATGACGTAGCTGGGGGGCTCCTCGGCGGGGCCCATCCCGTCCTCGCCCATGTCGCACTTTCCGAAGTCGACCTTCCTGTTCTTGCCGAGGACGATGTCCCAGCAGCAGCGCCACTGGCTCGACTCCTTCAGCGGGTGGAACCCCACCATGTCCCCGTTTGCGCACCCACCTGGGGAGAAGTCTGGCTTGAATATATTCGTATCCGTCATGAAACCGACGCCGAGAGAGTCCATGCATCCCTTGAAGAAGCCGTCCTCGCCAGTGTTGAGGCCGTAGGCGTCCCTGCAGCCCTCCCAATTGTCGAAGTAGATCTCGACCGCGAAGTTCGAGAAGACCTCGATGGCACCAAGGAAGCCATCGTTGCCCAAGCCTGGGTCCATGCCGTTATTCTTGAGGTAGATGGGCCTGTAGGCTGGTGCGTTCAACGCGCGGATGTGCGACTTCAGGCGATCGGCGACCAGCACTGCGTCTGGATCGACTTTGACGGTCCAGTCCGCGGTCAGCCACTTGCCCTCGTCGAACACCTGCTGCCAGACCTTGAGGAAGACGTCGGTGTTGGTGATCGTGGACTCGCCGGTGTCCCAGCCCGCGGATCCCGACCCCCACGACTGATAGACGGAGCTGGAGTCGCACCCGAAGATGCTCGCGTTCAACTCCCTCGCGAGCTCCATGAGGGCCACCTCTCGGGAAACCAGAAAGGTACTGATACCGCTACTCCCCGGACCTCTCCCAGGGTGCGTTCTGACCAGAATTTCAAGGCGAATCCAGCGGTGGCGACGAAGGCCTCCCAGGAGGCCTAAAAAGGGAAACGAGGGAAGGGTAGCGGTATGGACACCGTTTCCTCCCCTGAACCTCCCCCGAGTCGGGCAGGTAAGCCATGAAGCAGAATAGCACGTCGCCCATCTTCTCCTCGTCGTCGCCGGCAGCGGGAACCGAGTACTCCGCGCGGCTGCCGCCGAGGACAGTGCCCTCCCAGTCGGATGGGATGTCGATCGACTTGCTGGCCCACGTGTGCTTCTCCTTCGGAGGGCGAGAACACCCCTGCTTGAATTTTTATGCTAAGAATTGGGCTTCACTCCAAGAATTGTTCCAAACAGTAGCCCAGGCCCAGATATACGAAAGTTCCAAGAAATAAAAATTCACCAAGAAAACGCCCAGGGTCCAGTCCAGATCCTCGATTTTCTTAAACGAAATCTGAAGTCCATGAGAACTCATGCTTGTTCTTGAGATTTCCGATTGGTGCATACTTCTTCATCGTTCCTGGCCAGGCTATCCTGGGCCCCGGATCGGTGCATACGCCCTTCTGGCTCGGGCGGGAAGGCACATACACCGATCCTGGGCCCAGGGTCGACCTGGGCAGGAACGGTGTAGGCGCATCGTTGGGGCCCTCCGATCTCCTCGGTCTGGGTGCACCCCGTGAACAAGTCGTCCTTCACGGCGCAAGCGAAGCCCTCCTGGCAGCACAACCTCGTCTGCCGGCAGTCCTGCCCGGGCCACGAGCAGCCGGCGGCCAGCTTGGTGCGATTGCCCAACTTCTCGCAGCCCCAGCCGTCCTCCCAGCAATTACGCTTGCACTGGGCAAAGGTCTCGTCCTTCGAGAAGCAGGTCATCCCCCCGGCACCGCGCTTCTGGCTGCAGCACTTGGTCTCGAGACAGCTCTCGTCGGGCGAAGAGCACGGGTCTGCCCTGCACTCCAGGTCCTCGAAGATGCAGGCCTGCTCGATCGGGCAATCGTCCTGGCTCTGGTAGGTCCAGCAGGCCTGGATGCAGCTCTTGTCCTCCTGCTCCACGCACCTGTCCGTGGGGCACTTGGCCTCGGAGCCGCAGCCGGGCTTGCACACGCCGTCGTACCACATGCAGTGCTTCTGCGACCCGCACGCCCCTTCGTCGGGCATCTGGCCACAGATCGACAAGCAGGCGTCAGAGCCATTCGACCTGCCCCAGACACAGCGGTCTGTATCGCAATCACTCTTCTTCGAGAAGAATGTGCAGGCCTTCTTGGAGCGGCGACCTACCTCCTTGCAGCTCCATGTGGTGGGCTGGAAATTGCCCCCCTCGTCGTACGTGCCATCTGTCTCGCCGTCGGTCACCTGGCCATTTTTGCACGTGTCCGCACACTCTGCCCATCCGTCAGTCTTGTGATAGCACTGGTAACCGTTCTCGCCACCGTCCACGCAACACCCCGACTCAAGGCAAGATTCTCCTGGGTTGCCACACCTGGGCGCTTCATTCCCGTCTCCCTCGCCCTCGCCCTCGCCCTCGCCCTCGCCGCCCTCGCTCTCCTCCTGCAGGATCTCTGCGCCACGCACGGCAACTGCGGTCTTCTTTGCGCGCGGCCTCATAGAGAGAGTCACCTCGCCAGCGGGGTGAGAACAACATGTGAACATATGCACATACATATACGTATACTTGTACAAGCCCAAAATTCCTCTATACACATGTTGTCTGCTGGCATGTACCACATACGGTGGGTTCTTGCATGTTCGGTATGCATGCTACGGGGGACGATGTATAGGACGCAAGTGTGCCGTGCAACATGCTTGGTGCAATCCAGGCAATGCAGGCTGTATGCTTGTTTCTTTGTTTGTATGTATGCATGTATGTCTGTACGAACGAATGAGTGAAGGAATGAATTGATTGATTATATGACCGTCGCCGTACTAATCCAGGGGGGCCCAAGAGGCTTGCAGGGTGCTTTTCAGAAGCAGTTTGGGCCTCTCGTGGGGTCTGTTTTAGCGTCTCTTGGGGCCGTTTTGGGTGTCTCTTGGGGAGCTGGGGCCTGTGGGGGGCCTCTGTAGGGGTCCTTGGTGCCTCTCGGGGGCCGTTTTTGGGGCCCCTTGGGCCGTCTTGGGCGCCTCTTGGGCCGTCTTGGGCCGTCGTGGGAGCCTCTTGAGTGCCTCTTGGGCCGTCTTGGGGCGATCTGGGGGCACCTTGGGCCGTCTTGGAGCGTCGGGAAGGCAAGAAGTTGTTGGTGCTGAAAATGAACGTCTTTCTCTTTCAAACAGAGTTTTGCGATTTGGGCATCTTGAGGCTCTCTTGGGAGGCCTCCTGGGGTGTTTGGGGCGAAAAGGGGGCCCCGTGACAGTATTGGGGCCATCGTGGGCGTCTTGTAACACTTTTGGCCCAGCTTGGGGCCCTCTTGAAGCCATCAGGAGCCGTCTTGGGCCCTCCAGGCGCGCTCGGGACCCAGCGGCCCCCAGCGGGACGAAGGTCTAGCCGGATCAGTTTTCTATGTATGTAGGTACTCACTGCATTAGTACAGCTGCATGTATGTATGTATGGGTGGATGGATGGACGGATGGATGAATGGATGTGAGTATGCCATACATGCTTGTTTATACTGTACATACAGTCGGGGCGGCTACGCACGCCCACCGCACGAAAACTCTAGAATGCCCGCCCGCGCACGAGGAGGCGACGACGGTCGCCCACCGCGCGAAAACCAAGAACTGCGACCCAATGGCCTAAACAAACATCATAACTCACAGCTAACCCCATCAGTGCACTGTGTGTGTGGAGAAGAAATGCTCTGGCACAACTTGTTGCCTTCCCGACGCTGAGTTGGGTGCGCCCCTAAGAGTCCGACACAGCCCTCATGTGGTTCCAAGCCGGCCCGAGAGGGCCCAAGAAGGCCCCGGGGGGCCCCAGTGAGACCCCAAAGACAGCCAAGATGGGCCAAAGACGGCCCACGATGAGTTCAAGATGGCCGCAAGACTTCCCCACAGGCCCCCAGGACGGACCAAGAGGCACCGAAGAGGAGCCCTCGGACGCTCCCAACTGACAAATCGTTTTGCTTCAAGCGATCCCACCAAGGAAATTAATCCATGCCATTGCTACCTACTCTTGGTGAGTGTCTGCTCACTTGCTGGTATATGCTATTGGTGCCGGGCACTGCTGTACGTTATTGGCATCTGCTCTTTAGCACTTCTCCTGGTGTTTGACTTTGGGCTACAAGGTCAGTTGATATTGCTGATACCTGCTGTAGGTAATATAGGCATCATTTGTTGATGTGTATATCATGTGTGACAGGTTCTGGCTTACTGTGTGCGCACTATGCGTGTTATTACTGTGTGTACTATGTGTGTTATAGATGTAAACTCGTGGTGTACGCTCTTGAGTTAGGTTGCTAATGCATGGTCTTGATGTGCCCTACCGGTGCTTAATGTCCAGTCTTGTTTCTGATGTATGAAATTGATGTTCACCTTCGGTTTCCAAGGGGGCGTAAGCTTCATGTGTGGTACGGGTGTCTGTTAGTGGTGTGAGTCAAAGGTGTAGTTGGTGACAGCGATTGACGCGTGTTATTGCTAGATGGTCTCAGTGTGTGTATGTGTGGCGTTGGTGCCAGTGTGTGGTATGGCAGTGTATTGTTGGTCTCTGCTCGTGGTGTATTGATGCCTATCGTGGGTGTACGTTCTTAATGTATGTCATTGGTGTAGGTCCTTGGTGCACCGTCTTATTGTATGCTAGTCAAGTCTATTCTAGATGTCTGTGGGGATGACGTGACGTGCGGACAGCGTGACGCCTTCATGGTTGGGATGTCGGTTAGTTACACCTGTTCCGTCTGCTTGCTTACCCTGTCGGCAACGGGCTCTCAGCGATGTCTAGGACCTGGCAGCCGCAGTGTGCAGGGAAGGCGAGGCGGGATAGCCGGGGACCACCAGGAGTCTTGGGGCCTGGCGGCCGCGGTGTGCAGGGCGGGCGAGGTGGGGCGGGAACCTGTTCCCCGGAATTCGCCGAGGACGAAGCGCCGCGGCCTTCTCAGAGCGTTCTGGAACGCTCTGAGAGCGTTCCAGAAAACTCTGAAACGGATCTATCCTCGTCCCGGCCCCGTCCGAACGAGACTGCAGCCGCTCCCCAGAGCCCTCCCCCGGGAGCAAGGGTCGGCTGGTTTGGGAGCGGGCAAACGAGGCGGCGGTTTCGTTTGCTCCAGAAGAGCTCCTGGGCGGCCTCACATGGCCTCCACAAAGGCCCTAGCTGCTCCCAGGCGGTCCAAGATGGCATCCACGTCGCCACCGATGGCCCCAACACGTCCGAAGATGGCCTCCAGACATCCGAAGACGAAGAAGCCCCCAAGACGCTCCAAAAGCGCTTCAAGAGGACTACCCGCTGGGCCCCAATAGCCAAGAATCGTCCCAGTACCGTTGGAAAGCGTGCGATTCTAGTATATTCACAGGTTCGGTCTTCACAGCCTTCACGAAGGCCCCCGAGGCCCCCAAGACCGCCCCAAGACAGCCAGCAGGGCTCCCCAGCGGGCCTCAAGACGGCCAAGGCAGGCCGCAAGACGGCCTAAGCGGGGGCCCCAAGAGAATCCTAAGAGAGCCCCAAGACGGGGAACTCGAACTGACATTGCTAGCCCTGTGCCGCCTGTACCCCAAAAGGGCCTCCGCAACCGCCAGGCCCCCAAGAAAGCTCCAAAAGAGCCCAAGAAGCACCAAAGAAAACCCCAAAAGGCCCTCAACCGGCCCCAAAATGACTCGGCAGGGCCCGTTTGAGTACCGTGTGGGGTTCCCCAAATGAACGCACGACGCCAACAGGCTTCTACGACAACGTCCACCAGAAGACTGGCATGCAGGGCTCCCAATGGATCGGGGGTGCGGCGTACGTCAAATCTAACAACCCCAAGATGCTGGGTGGGGAAAGCGCCAAAAATGTTCAAGATATTGTGCGATTTGGGCATATTCGCCTTCTCGATATGCAGGGTCTCCACGAAGGCACAGGATGCCCAAGGTCGTCACAATATGGCCCACACATGTATGTAAACATATGCACAGCCATATCTACATCTATATTCACGGCCCCGCGGTCTGGACTGCTCGGCGGCGACTCAGTGGATACAGGGCGGCGTTGCGCGAATGCCCCGCGCGGAACTTATCCATGGCAGTGCGTACCCCTGAGATCGCTCGCGCCTCGGTATCCACATCGCGAGGGCGTAGGTACTATAGATGTGGATTTGCTCGTCCCCCTTAATCACCATCAACGCCAAGCCAGCCGCGGTCGCCAGTAGCGGCAAGACCGTGGCCCAGCGGCGCGGCTTGGAGCGAGGCTCGGGTTGCAGCAGCTCCCCCTCGGATCCAGAAATGTAGTCATCCGTGCGCATGGCGGCCATGTCTGCTCGTGGCAGCTCGGATTGGCGGACCTTTACAAGTCTCTCGTCACGGGTGCCGATTAAAGAGGGCGGCTTTCAGACAAAACGACTTGAGCCAAAACGGCTACGGACCGCTGCCCGGGAGTTGAAAAGAAGAGGCGGAAGAGGAGGACACAGACAAGGGGGAGAGGAGGAAGGGCGGGAGGAAGAAGAGGCCGAGGGGGGAGGGGAAGAGGGACGAGGGAAACCCAGACCTCCGTCGTGGTTTTCCCACTGCGTGGATCCCTGGAGCTCTCGACCCCTCCGACAGGGACGGTTTTTCATCACTGGTCGCGTTTGGAGGGCCCAGGGGCTCGGCAGAACCACTGGAGCTTGAAAACGGCCACAGACCTCCCGTCGTGACTTTGACGTGTGGCGAGGAGGTCATGAGAGGAGGACGAGGGCGGGCCAATGTGATTGAAACTGCCCTCATAGGGGGAGGGGGGCTGCGACTGCCGAGGCCTCTAGTCTCTGGGTCCTCTCCTGACCGAAGGGCGGCTCCGAATCTCGTCACACATATCATCACCACCATCATCACCATCATCATCATCATCATCATCATCATCATCATCATCATCACCACCACCATCAGCATCAGCATCAGCATCAGCATCATCATCATCATCATCATAACCAACTCCACCATCATCATCATCATCATCATCATCATCATCATCATCATCAGCATCAGCATCAGCATCATCATCATAACGAGCTCCACCATCATCATCATCATCATCATCATCATCATCATCATCATCATCATCATCATCATCATCATCATCGCCATCATCATCATCATCACTATCATCATCATCATCATAACCATCAACACAAACATCACCAACACGCCCATACTGTCACCACCACCACTCCCGTCATCATCATCATCATCACCATCAGCACCATCATACTCATCACCATTACCATCACCACCACCATCACCATCATCATCAGCATCATCATCATGATCATCATCACCAGCTTCATGATCATCATCACCACCACCATCATCAACGATACCACCATCAACATCATCATCACCACCACAACCACAAATATCATCAACATCACCACCATCATCATCATCGTCATCATCATCGCCCTCAGCTTCATCATCATCACCACCATCATCATCAACTTCATCATAATCATCACCACCACCATCAACACCTTCACCACCACCATCATCATCACCATCACCATCAAGGGCACCATCACCATAACCATCACCATCCCCATCATCAGCATCATCATCATCACCACCAGCTTCATCATCCTCATCCTCATCATCACCACCATCATCATCGTCGGCACCAGCATCATCACCATCACCACCACTATCAGCATCATGATACTGATGCGGATGATGGTCATCATCAGCATCATCTTCGTCACCACCACCATCAGCATCAGCATCAGCAGCATCATCATAACCAGCTCCACCATCATCATCATCATCATCAACATCATCATCACTATCATCATCATCATCATCATCATCCTCATCATCATAACCATCAACACCAACATCACCAACACACCCATACTGTCACCACCACCACTACCGTCATCATCATCATCACCATCACCACCATCATACTCATCATCATTACCATCACCACCACCATCAACATCACCATCATTATCAGCATCATCATCATGATCATCATCACCAGCTTCATTATCATAATCACCACCACCATCATCATCATCATCATCAACAATACCACCATCATTATCATCATCATCACAAACACCACAACCGCAAATATCATCACCATCTCCACCATCATCATCATCGTCATCATCATCATCGCCCTCAGCTTCATCATCATCACCACCATCATCATCAGCATCATCATAATCATCACCACCACCATCAACACCTTCACCACCACCATCATCACCATTACCATTTCTAGCACCATCACCATAACCATCACCATCCCCATCATCCACATCATCATCATCACCAACAGCTTCATCATCCTCATCCTCCTCATCACCACCGTCATCATCGCCGGCACCAGCATCATCACCATCACCACCGCTATCATCATCATGACACTGATGCTGATAACGGTCATCATCAGCATGGTCGTCATCACCACCACCATCAACATCAGCATCATCAGCATCACCATCATCACTATCATCACCATCATCATAAACATCAACACCAACATCACCAACACACCCATACTGTCACCACCACCACTACCGTCATCATCACCATCATCACCATCACCACCATCGTACTCATCACCATTACCATCATCACCACCATCACCATCACCATCACCACCATCATCAACAACCATCACCATCACCATCCATCACCATGATCATCATCACCACCTTCATTACCATCATCACCACCACCATCATCATCACCAATACCACCATCATCATCACATCACCACAACCGCAAATATTATCATCACCATCACCATCATCATCATCGTCATCATCATCGCTCTCAGTTTCAGCATCATCACCGCCATCATCATCAGCATCATCATCATCATAATCAGTCTTCCCTCTGGGAATCGGGGTAAGATGACAAAGGAATTAAGGTCTCGTGTTGACTCTGCTCAGTAGTAGAAGATACGGGATGAGACATCGATGAAACTACTAGTAACCGTTAAGCAATTGTACTCAGGACTGGGAAGGGAGGAGGCCGGCCGGCCGACGACACGACTACGACGAGGGAGGGACCCCTCGGCGCGCGCGTGCAAGCCAGCACGCTCCTTGTCTGTCCTGTAAGCACAAACAGCTGCGGTGCAACGCCGCAGGGTCAAGGTGTGGCAAGGCAGGCAGCGAGAGAGGCAAGTGTAAGATGAGGCGGAGAGGAGCATATTTACTCCCCCCGCGGCGGGCTTCGTAGGGCCCATCCAGCCACGGCTCGCCTGGCCTGTACATCTATACAGCCACCACAGCGAACCCAAAAAGCATTTGACCGCTCAACGGTGGTTGCTAGGGAGCTGAGGGCCGAAGAAACCCGACGATTCCAACCAACAGATAAATAAACTATCTCTGCCGATGCGACTTTGTCGCTCGGTTGAGCCCGCTGCGACTTGGTCGCGCGGGCTCGGCCTGCTCTCACATCTTGTGCTATAGATATCCCGCGATGGCGGAGACGGAGGTTTCGGATGTGAAGACGATGAGCCTCCCGTCCGATCAGCGGCCCAATAGGGCGAAGCTGGTCTGTGTCCCTTGCCACGGCCAGCGTAAGGAGCTGACCTGTTGTCCTTGTCCTTGCCATTGCTCTTGTTCTTGGAACCCTTTCCTTTTCTCGGAAAGCGGTAGTTGTAGTCTTTCAGGTACACAAGATGCCACGCGCGTCCTTGGGTCTCACTGGGGTCCATCCAGTGTATCATGTCACGGTGAACCCAGTATCCATCCAGTGCATTATCCGCGTGGTGCGGGCAGTGCCACGAGGGGTCGTAGTCGGCAGCCCCGCGCCCGGCATCCATGGCTCCGCCGCGCGCGCGCGTGGGCCTCGACCAATCCCGCGCGTCCCTGTCAGACGAAAACCATGAGTGCTCATCTCCCGCCGCGGCGGTTTGACCGCTGGCAGAGCACGGAGATTCCGCGACTTCATCGTGAGCCCGATCGTCTTGGACGTCGGATCTGCGTGGAGGAGGTGGTGGTCTGGGCCTCGCTTTCGCCAAAGCGGGCCCCTCCGTATCGGCTTGGCCGTCGGGGGGCCCATCGGCGCCTCCTCTCTCACGAACACTCATCGCTCGCTTTCTAGCAAGTCTAATAATGTCCCTTGCAGCAGCAGCAACAAAAATACCAAACTTGCCGCAGGCACTACGAAAGGGGCCTTCATCTTCATGTTGGAGTTCAGTGGCCTCCACGAATGGATATAGCCAATAAATAGCTTCTTGCAACTTCATGCCCTGACGGCGGATGTCGATGCGACCCTGTTTGCCCAAGTCACGGGCCCATTCCTCAATGAGGTCATCCGTCTCAATCGCGGCACGAATGCGGCAATCAAGGGCGCGCGCATCCTTTCGACGCTTGTCATCATCGCATGCTACGCTGGTGCCATGGGCAAGAAAGTTAGCCCCAGGGTATGCAATGCAATGTCCCTCGGCGATGAAGCAACTAATGATCTCGCGAACAATCAAAATCACACGAATAATGCGAAGACCCAACTCCAGTTCTGGAACAGGAATCCTCCAGTTCCAACCAATGGTGCTCCACGCATTTTCTGGGACTTCATGCGTTACTTCACCCGATAGTCGTAACCTTTCAGGGTAATTTGCCTCCGGGCGATAGCTGGTGTATTCCATGACATATTGAGCGGCCACTTCTTTGGCTCCGTCCTCGGTCAACGTGATGTTCAACGATTTGTCGTCGCGATGGGAATGCGCGTGCCCATTGGGCTGATCAAGATTGACCCTCCCGTCAATTATCTGCCCGGTCTTGGACCCGCAGACTGCAGTGAAATCAAGGGTCATGTCTAGATTCTCCTCACCTGCCTTCACGGTTGGACCGGCGGCAGGTTTGGCATGCGTACACACTGAAACGAGAGGGTGTTCGGAAAACATTCTGTTACGCCTGCTGACGGACTGGGAAGCACGACGAGGACGTGCCACAAAATTATTTGCCCAAGCAACCGGCGGACGTCCACGTAGGCTGGGCCCTGTGACGTCCATGGCGTTGCCCTGATCAACGGGCAGCCAGGGTGCTGTTCCATCTTTTGCGCTGCGCAATGTCCGAAGCGTTGGCACGAAGATGTTCGCATTATCCACGTTGCGCTCCCATTCGAACCAACCTTCTATTGGTTCAAAGCGTGTGTCAGGGTCCTCTGGCCACTTGAAGGCAGCCAGAGCAGGACAAGACATGGGGCGCGCATGCTGGTCAATTTCTGTTGCCCAAAGTAAGGGCCACCACTCTGCGATCGTTGGAGCTTGAGTTGCTTCTCTCTGAGCCAAGTGTGCGAGCCACTTGATGAATCGCCTCTTCAG